ACCGGGCCAGGAGCCAGGCTCTGTGTTCCAGGCATGGCCTCAGCTGCAGACAAGACAAGAAGCTATTCCTGCAGAACTAGATACTACAATGAGGCGCCCCTCCCTTACTCACCTATTCAGGGAGAAAAAAAATCCATTTTGTAAAAGTATTAGGTTGAAATTTCATTTTAACATTTTTACTTTAGATACATCCCACTTTTCTTTCTTCTCCTCTTCCATTGTATATCTTCTCTTTTTTCTTTTTCGCAAAAAGTATGTACTAGGACATTTTCTGTTTCAGCCAGAGACTACGAGATTTGTGGGCCCCAAACTCCACACCAAAGTTATCCTTCAGGTTTTTTTTTTAAACTTGATTGAAAAAAATGTCATATTATCTGTTGGTCACGTGTCTCGTGAAGCGCAAGATCTTTTCAAATAAACTTAAGTCCCCTACATACAAATGAGTTCCGTTCTGAGAGCGCATTTGTAAGTCCAGTTTGTTCATCAGTCCAGGTGGGTCCAGGTACCCAACTAACACAATCGGCTATATAGGACTGTACTGTAATAGATTTATAATGCTTTTCACTCAAATATACATTCCCTGAATAAAACGGACTGAAGTTCTCTACTCATTAGATGCTTTATCTTCCATTTGCCTTTTCGCTGGTTTACTAGTCTAGGATGCAGGGCGTATGCGTTGGGAGGACAACCCTTCCCGAACCTCCATCACTCTGGGCCGCGTGGTGCTGGTCTCTGGGAGACATCACCTCTGTTTCTATCAGATGAAACATTAGATCTTTAGTTGAATCAGGTATCCCCGCAGGTGGACTACAGACAGGTTTCATTTTCTTTACGTTTATATCTTGGCTGTCCTGAGTGCTATGGGCAGAAAGTTTGTGTCCCTCTGAATTCATGTGCTGAAGCCTAAATCAGACTCCCAAGGTGATGGCACTAGGAGGTGTGATACTAGGGAAGGGACGAGGGCGTGAGGATCGGGCCCTTGTGATGGGATTGGTGGCTGGTGGTTTAGTCGCTTAGTCATGCCCAACTCTTGTGATCCCGTGGACTGTAGCCCACTGGGCTCCTCTGTCCATGGGATTCTCCAGGCAAGGATAATGGAGTGGGTTGCCATTTCCTTCTCCAGGGGATCTTCCCAACCCAGGGATCGAACCTGAGTCTCTTGCATTGCAGACAGATTTTTTTACCACTGAGCCACCAGGGAAGCCCTTTGTGACAGGATTAGTGCCCTTCTAAGAAGAGACATGAGAGAGATGATTTTTCTATTCTCCACCCTTTGAGCACTAGAAGGAACACCTTCCACCTTCTAAAATCAAGAACTGGGCTCTCATCAGACACCAAGTCAGCCGGCACCTTCATCTTGGATTTCCCAGCCTCCAAAATTGGGAGAAATAAATATCAGTTGTATGAGCCACATTCTCTATGGCATTCTTTTTTTTTTTTTTTTTAAGATTTATTTGTTTATTTCTGGCTATGCATGTTCTTCATTGCTGCGAGCAGACTTTCTCTAGTTGTGGCAAGCGGGGCCTCCCTTCACTGTGGTGGCAGGCTTCTCACCGTGGTGCTTTCTCTTGTTGCGGAGCACAGGGTATATGTGGGCTTCAGTGATTGCAGCTTGAGAGCTCTAGAGCACAGGCTCAATAGCTGTGGTACCCAGGTTTAGTTGCTCCAAGGCATGTGGATCTTCCCGGATCAGAGATCGGACCCATGCCCCCTGCATTGGCCGGTGGATCTTCAACCACTAGGGAAGCCCCTGTGGTATTCTGGATTGAGCAACCTGAGCTGACCTAGACGCTGACTCATTTAAGATGTGAATTCCTTTTCTTTTCTTCAAGCTACCCCAAATGTATACAATGTTACTACTAAATCCACAGGACTCTTGGAACCATTCATGCATGATCCAACTAAAGTCAACAGCAAATAAAAACACAGCTAAGCAAACACTTAGGATTGTGACTTTAAATATTTATTCTCTTCAGTTTAAAATAACAAGTAAGGCACGAGCTAATTCACCTTCAAGAAGCATTTTCCTTCCACAAAAAATTTGTAAAAGAATAACATATAAAAACAAACAACACCTTGGTGTATTTGTTTTGAGGGGAAATGACTAGAGAGAATAAAACTTGTTGATTCTAACTACACCGTTTGTAGGAATTTCTGAATTCCATAGAAATATATGTAAATAGAGCAAGTGACTTGACCCTGGAAGAATCATGTGGAAACAGGGCAAATTGCTGTATGGAACAGCCAATGTACATCAGCCATCTCTGACCTTTTATTAAACTGTGAAATTCATAGAGAAGTGCCTTAAGCTTCAGTCCCTTACCTTCCAGGGGTGTGGGCATCCCAACCCTTTTATCACCTTCTTCTTGGGTCACTCACCTGCCCATCACCTTGCTCAGTACTTCTGCCACTGGCTCAGGGCATTTCTCAATTGTGTTTTTGGCATTTCTACCTCCAGTTCCTGAGGTCCTGCCAGATCTTGCTTAGATGTTAGATTCTTAATCAGAACCAGAGCAGACCCACAGAAGGAGTGAGGCTGTGTTAAACAGAAAACCAGCCAACGCTTTATCTCGAGGGCATGAAATCAACCTCTCCCGGTTTTGGCTTCGGCTTCATCTCTAATGAAGGGGCTGAACAAGGTAACATGCTCGGATCCCATGATCTTTATCTTCTGACAGCATGGAAATCCTGCCAGAGAACTCTGCAGAGGCCCAGCTGTGAAGGGAGGCAGGAGGTGGGGAAAATGTTCCAAAGATGGAGTGTATTCAGCTGCAAGGAAGAAGCACGTATTCAGAGGCTCCCACAGGAAAAGTCTTTTCTGCAATGTTAAGCAGCTGGGGACAGCTTATGGATCGAAGTCATCTTCATACTCCGTTCAGTTTTTGACTGGTGCCCTATAGATTCGGGGGCTACTGAGACCCCACGGTGGATGATGCTGGGCGGACCTGCAGATTCCTCTCTCCCTGCACCCTGGCTGGGTCTGTCTCCAGCCCCGCATCCTTCACTTGTGCCCCAGGTATGGATGCCCCGGGAAATCACAGAGCTCTGCCGTAGGTCCCTTCAACCAGCCGGGCTCCTGCTGGCCTTTAGCAAAACTTAATGTTTTTCTTGAAGCGCATCGGCCTCCATGGCACCTGTGTTCTGCTTCAGCTTTCTAGACTACCTCACTCCACAGCTCTCCACAGAAATTCACCTCCTTCTATGCTGAGGAAACTGTAGAGGGACTGCCCCCCATCATTACTGTGTCTCGTAGCGTCTCCATCTCCTGCCTCCCAGTGTAACGGTCCACCTTCTTCCGGGCTCCATTCTTCTTGCTCCCTCCGTGCACTTGTCTCAATGATTTCTTGTCTTTCTAGAATCTCTAGACTCCTACTCCCCAGAGGTTCTTCCCTCTTGGATTCAGATACCCTTCCAGAAGTCTCCAGTGCGTGTCGCTGGCCAGGCTCCATGGGGCTCCCCCTGTGGTCTTTTATCTCACTGTCAAGCTCGTGCTAGTGGTCGGTGTTTGAACCCTCTTTTATTAAGATTTTTTTTTTTAAATGGGGATCATTTTTAAAGTCTTTATTTAATTTGTTACAATATTACTTCTGTTTTGTGTTTTGGTTTTTTGGCCACGAGGCGTGTGGGATCTTAGCTCTCCAACCAGGGATCCAGCCCGCACCCCCTGTGTTGGAAAACGAAGTCTTAACCACTGGACCACCAGGAAGTCCTGAACCCTCACTTTTTCACCTCCTAGTCTGTTGCTTAAGTCATCAAATTTAGCTTCTGTCTTCACCACATTCATTAAACTTTGTCTTAGATGTCAAGTTACCGTTTCTGATGTCCGGTTCCTGTGATGGGTATCTCCAGCTTCCATGCAACCATGTCGACCTCTTCCTCTTTTTTGAAATGTTAGATCCCATTGCTTCTCTTAGCTGATTAAGATTTCTTCCTAGTTTCCTTTGCTACATATCGTTCCTCCTACCAACCTGTGGATGTCCCTCAAGGTCATACTGGTCCTTTTTAATTTTTTTTCTTTTTCTTTTTGGCCAAGCCATGTGGCTTTCCCTGCCCCATGGCCCTGCAGTGGACATGCGGAGTCCTAACCCCAGAACCACCAGGCAGGTCTCCATACTGTTCCTTTATAGTCCCCACTCCCGCCTTCACAGTCTCACTTCTGGTCTCAGCATCTGACTTGACATGGACTTGAGAGCGCTTCCCTTCTGTTATTCTGGCATCAGCTCAAATTCAGGAGTAAACACAAACTTTCCATGTTTGAAGGGGTTGGTGGTTTAGTCACCAAGTCGTATCTGACTCTTCAACCTGATGGACTGTAGCCCACCAGGCTTCTCTGTCCATGGGATTTCCCAGGCAAGAATACTGGATTCGGCTGCCGTTTCCTTCTCCAGGAGAGCTTCCCAACCCAGGGATCGAACCCACATCTCCTGAATTGCAGGTGGATTCTTTACTGACTTGGCCATCAGGGAAGCCATCTTCAAAGTGTCTGTATATGGATTAGAGAGATTTGAGATCTGGGAGGAAAGGAAGCAGTTCTGGCACAATCTTTTAAAATTTTGATTGTTGCAAATAAAGGTGGAAATGTCTATGTGTGTGCGTGCATGTGTGTATGTGTATATCTTTGGTATGTTTCCTAGACCAATTCAACGTTTATTTTTATTGACACAGAGTTCTTCCTGAAAGCTCTCTGTTAATCATATTATTTTCTCAAAACAACAGCTGTGTTTGTATAAGTGAAGACTCCATGTCCTGATTGCTCACTGGAAATTTCTGCTTATAAAAAGATGAAAATCACAGGTCCTAAGTTTATCAATGCATCAATTAACTCACTTCATTGTAGTACAAGTACAAAATGCATCCTAAATGTGTGTGATTTTTGAAAGGAATACACTTTATTTGAAATGTATGGGGTGATGTAGAAAACACAGCACTGCAGATAACTTGAGTGTGAATAAATGTCTGTATGGTAGACACACACTGCTCCATCTGGAACATTTCCTGCCCAAAGTCTTTTCCGGGGCTAGGATCCTTCCTCCTGAAGATAACATAACCTGTCTACCTGTTATACAATGTTATGAAAGAAACAAAGCTTTACAGGGGAAAACAGAAACAGTATGTCTGAAGGCTCAGCTCCAACCTGAAGTGTATTTGCTTTTGAAAAAGGCTGGATTCTAAGGATATTCTAGAAACTAAACATTCTTCTAAGTTGGAAGTAACTATTTACCCTTTCGATCTCTTCATTGGCCTGGCCTGGGAAACTTAATAAGACTTTAAGACCTTGTGATGAAAATGTAGGATAAAATTGTGTATATTATTGAAAGACAATAATACTTGAAATTGTTCCTGCAAATTTCACAGAAGAGAAATTTGAGCAGAAGAGAAAATGCTTCAAAGCAAGTACATTCATTTATTCATTCACTGGACTCATGGAAATGGGTGCTAACCATATGGAGGGGACAGAGGGCCCTCCCTAGCCTGCCCTAGAGATAACTTTGTATGTAATTAGTTACAAACACAGGCAACAGTCTGCCCTTAAAAGACTCAGGAAAAAAATGTGGGTGGGAAGGGGTTTTAAAAAGAAGAGACTGTTTTCAGCCTGGGTAGAAGAGGCGCTGGCCTTGGATCTGGGTTATACAGAACAGGTGAGGAAAGAAGGGGGAAATGCTAGGAACATTGTATATAATAACATTTATTCATAATAAAAACATTATAAAGGCAAGGGAATAAATTGTGTAAAGGAACTAAAATTTCAGGGAGATGGCCTGACCAGCCCTCATCACAGAGTTAGTATCTGGGCTTCCCTGGATGCACGAACTCTGCTCTTCTCATGACCCTGAGATGCTCTGGACCAATCAGGAGCAGCTTCCACAGTGACAGCCATGACGCTGGACCACGGGGGCAGGATCCCACCAGTGTGTATTGGCTGAGCATCACAGGGCAAAAAGTAAGGCTGGGGAAGGGGGGCTCTTTTACATGTCTCTGAATGCACTGGTTTCAAGACTGCTTTTCCTCTCTAAAAGCCGGTGTCCCTTCCATGGAATGTTGAACTGCTTTTTGCCACCCGTCTGGGCTTGAATTGGGCCGGGAATTCTATGGGCTGGAGATACAGGGTCACTCCAAGTTCGTCTTTCTCTTCTTTAGAAACGACATCATAGAAAATATCTCACAGTCAAGTAGCTCCCTGAAACAAATCGTCCTCCGTGTGAAGGACATAGACACACATCTGGGGAGTTGGGGCAAGGAGAGCCCTCTGAAGAAGGGGGTCCCACCCCACCCTCCAGCCACTTAAATTCACAGAAATGGAGACAGGACTCATGCGTACATCCGGTGGCTGCTAAACGTCACTCGTCTTCCTTGGGAGAGGCGCAGACAACGCAGCCCTTGATGTGATTCATGAGCCTCTGGCCGCACCTGGCAGAGAGAGACTCAGGCTGAGGCGGTGGAAGCGCCAGGAACCTCCCTTTTCTCTGTCAGACACTCACCAGCATGCCCATGGAGGCGATAAGCGAGGCTGAGGGCCAGAGAGAAAGAAACCAGAGCCTACACCGACTCAGATCAGGGTCTGTGGGCTGGAGAAGTGGACTGTGGGAGGCGCTCTGCTGGGAGGACTCCCCTGGTCTTGCCCATGTCCATCGTCACCCACAGCCATTTCTGTTCCAGGCACCTCCGTCCTAGAGTCCGGAGGAAGAGTGAGTGGGGAAGGCTGGAGAAGTATGGCTGCAACTTGCCACTCATTAGGGAACCAAAAGCGTCTCGACAGGTCACAACAGCTGGATTTTTCTTTCATTTTACTTTTATGAATTTATTTCATGTATTCACAGAAATTCAAAGTTGCATGTACAGGATGTTACTGCTTTCTAAATGGCCATCTTTTCTTTAGATACTGCTAAACAACCATCAGAAGACTTCGACTGGCTTGAGACTTCGCTTTTCAGTGCAAGGGGCATGGGTTCAATCCCTGGTTAGGAAGCTAAGATCCCACATGCCTCGAGGCCAAAAAAACAAAACATAAAACAAGCAATATTGTACGAAATTCAATAAAGACTTTTAAAATGGTCCACATTGGGGGGAAAAAAAAAAAGACCTAAAAAAAGAAAATTTTTTAAAATTAAAAAAAAAAAGAAAATAGCCACCAAGGGCATATTAATTAATACCTCAGTTTACAGCTGTTATTAATAAAATGAGCAATGTATTATCACATCCAGGATGGGGAATACATGTAAATCCATGGCTAGTTCATTACAATGTATGACAAAAACTACTGTAATGATGTAAAGTAATTAGCCTCCAACTAATAAAAATAAATGGAAAAAAAAAAAAGAATAAGCCTACAGATCACAACACCTTCATGTTTAACAGCTTTGGAGTCAAGGGCACTTCTGAGCACATAATCAAATAGGAAAGCTAAAATATGAAATCTGTTTCCCTCCCTCTCTCCAAAAAAAAAAAGCTCACTTCTAGGTTAACGTCTTACTAAAGCTCTTCAAAGCAGACCACTTGCAGTCACGTTCAAGTGTCAAACTCCAGTCAAGCCTGAGGGCCTGGTGCTCTTATTTCACCCTGATTCATCCAGGACGGGTCCTTAAATGACCCTCCCTACCCCGGTCTGCTCCCAACTGCGGGTCCCTTTGAGGGAGCGATGCCTAATTCTAGAGGAAAAAAGTATCAAATATAACTACTGATGCTCAAAGGAAACAATGTAAGTTTTGAATTACAAAATCCAATTTTTATATTATGAAAAGTCTTTCATTATTCTGGTTAACAGCAGTTACTGTTTATTAGTCGGAGTTAATACTGAGCCAAAATGTGCCAGTATGACAAACCCCTACTATTGGGGGACACCGAATAGAGACTGATAAGTAATGGATATTAAGGATTTTGAATGTTAAACTGTACTCAAGGACCCTTTGGTTGTATTCTTTCATCTACAATGTTAAGCTGTTGTTCAGTCGCTAAGTCATCTCCGACTCTTTGCCACCCCATGAACTGCAGCATGCCAGGCTTCCCTGTCCTTCACCATCTCCCAGAGGTTGCTCAAACTCATGTCCATTGAGTCACTGATGCCATCCAACCATCCTGTCCTCTGTTGCCCGCTTCTCCTCCTGCCTTCAGTCTTTCCCAGAATCAGGGCCTTTTCCAGTGAGTCATGTCTTTGAATCTCGTGGCCCAACTATTAGAGCTTCAGCTTCAGCATCAGTCCTTCCAGTGAATATTCAGGGTTGATTGCCTTTAGGACGGACTGGTTTGATCTCCTTGCTGTCCAAGGGACCATTACAATGTCATAACTGGCTAAAAATAAACTGAATAAATAAAAATATCAAAGAAAAAAAAACAAAAACAAACAAAGAATACTTAGAATGGTCGTTGTTTTCCCACCATCTCTGCAGCTCCTTTTCTCCGTGGGACTTTCACATTTAGACTAAAGGTTCCCAAGCCCTCTCTGCAAGGTCAAGAGAGGGCAGCCTGTTCTTTCCTCTTCTGGGGTCACGGTGGAAGCTGAGACCCGCCGACCCGCCGTTGGCCGCACAGTCTGGGAGGCCCGGCGGCGCTCTCACCCCCGGCAGGAGCCAGGCTGGGCTCCCCTCGGCCCGACGGCTCGGGTTTCCCGTGAAGGGACTGGAGAAAGGCGAGAAGAGCCGCGAGCAGGTACCGCAGAGCCGGGGTCCCCGCGCGGGAGGTCCCGGGGGCCGCTGCTGTGGAAAGAAGGAGGCTTATTATTCGCGAAGGCGAGGGGGCGGCGAGGTGGCCAGCGGAGCAAACGGTTGAAACCCAAGTCGCGCGGATGCTGGCAGCGCGGCGCCTGCTGTGAGACAGTCAGATGAACCCTGATAAACCCCGGGCACTTTCCCCAGCCCCGCCTGCTCCCCGCCCGGCCCGGAAGCTTCAGCTTCACACGCAGAACAGAGGCCGGGAGGGGACGGGAAGGTGGGCTGCTGGGGGTCCACGGAGGGGCTTTCTGCGCTTCCAGAGGGGCAGTGAGAGGCTGACTGTGCTCAGGTCAGGCCGCTCAGCGCTGGTCTGGTGACAAATGGGTCTGCGGAGAGAGTGCATGGCCAGGAGGGACCCCGCTGGACTCCCGGCAGGGGCCGGGGGAGACGGAGGGGCAGCAGAGAGGCCGAGTCCAGAAGGGCTGCGCTGGAACCACAGTGGGAGACCAGAGGCTGGAATGGAGGCCAGTGAGAAGCCCGCCTAAGAAACACCCCAGGGTTCTCTTTCTAGGCCTGGAGATGGGGTGGCCTCCCTGCTGGGTGAAACCAGTGCTTGGGTGCTTGATCCCCGGATCTTCAGTATTCATGCACAACAGGTGAATGTACCTAATACCATCGAATTGTACATTTAACAATGACCAAACATAGAACAACTACCAGGTTATCCAGCAGTCCCACTTCTGGGTTTGTAGGGGTAAGTGGATAAAGAAAATGTGGTACACGCACACACACACACACACACACACACACACACACACACACGATTATTATTCTGCCCTGAGCAAGAAGGAAATCTTGTATTTGCAACAACATGGTCAAACCTGGAGACCTTAGTGAAATGAGCCAGGCAAAGAAGGACAAATACTGCATGGTATCACTTACATGTGGAATCTAAAACAAAAGTTTTCATAGAAACAGAAAGTAGAAAAGTGGTTGCCAGGAACTGGGATAGCTGGGGGCTGGGGGCAGGAAATTGGGAAAGTTTGGTAAAGTACACATTTTCAGCTACAAGATGAATAAAGTCTGAGGATCTAATGTGTAAAATGGTGACTATAGTTGATAACATTGTATCATATAATTGAAATTTGCTGCAAAGTAAAATTTGTGCTAAAAAGTGATCAAAACAGAGACTTGAAGAGATATTAGTACTCTAAAGCATTATTTACAATAAGCCAGAGGTGGAAGCCGCCCGAGTGTTCACTGATGGATGAATGGATGAGCAAAATGTGGCCCGCCCGTTTACTAGAATGAGATTCAGCCTTTGAAAAGGACATCCTGACACTGGCTGCAACGCAGATGAACCTCGAGGACCTTAAGCCGCGTGAAATAAAACAGCCACGAGAAGACAAACATTGCATGAGGCCACTTATATGAGGCATGTAAAATAAAATCATAGGAAAAGAACGTAGCTTGGTGGTTACCAGGGTCTGGGAAAGGGGAAGAGGGGAAGGGGACTGGTGTTTAGTGTGTCCAGAGTGTCCTAATGCGTCCAGAAAGTCCTGGAGATAGGCGTCACAACCATGTACAAGTATTCAATGCCATGAAACTGCACACTTAAAGCTGATTAAGGTGGCCAATTCCATGTCATGTGCTTTTCTTAATAGACTAGATTTAGAGCAGTTTTAGGTTCACAGCCAAGTGCAGAGAAGGTTCAGGGATTTCCCACATGATTGCTGCCCCCTACACCATCGCCTCCCCCACGATCAGCACCCCCACCAGAGTGGGNTTTGCTTTCCAACCTGAAGAAGAAGACCCTGTGGGGCTCCAAAGGGAAGAGGGGAGGCCAGCTAGCCATCAAGGCCAGGCCATGACTGTGGGAAGTCCCAGACGGGCACCAGGATGCACTGGATCCTGGTCAGCGGCACAGCCGGCTGGAGGCGGGGTGGGGCCCAGAGGCTCACAGGCTCCTAGCATGTCTGTGACTCGGGGTTTAGCCTGGCCAATCACTGGCAAATATCTGTGGGTGAAACGGTAGGCCAGGTCCCTCAGGACAGGGGCCTTGACCCTTAACAAGAGGGTTGGGTACCAACGAAAAGATTCTTGAGGAGAAGGAAGCAAAGAGAAAAGGCACTAATGAAATACAGAGCCCCAAATATGTTATTTTTAATTATCGCCAAAAGAAATTCCTAGCTTCTCTGTAGGGTGGGATAGGGTTAACTGATTGCTCTCTCTTCCCTCATTTTTTTCTTCCTTCTTCCTCTTCTTCTCCTCCTCCTGCTATTTACCACATGAATCCTTTATATCTGCTCCCATGTTTCTTCATGTCACAAAAGTGTTCATACATAAGCCATACAGCATATATATAAATTAAATATATACACACATATATTTAATTTCCTACCTGAAGACATGCTCAGGTTGACACACCCCAGGGGTCATGTGACTGATCACAGGATGGACTGTGTTGACACAAGGCAGGCACTGTGTCCATCACCTCCTTTTCCCATCTACGCAGCCAGGACACCGATTGGCCTCTCTCACGGCAAGAAGATAAACTCAAAGTAATCAAAATGGACCACTGTTCATACCATTGCTTCAACAATTCTACATCTTTTTTTTTTTTCCAGAGAGAGGGGGTTTTTCTGTTTTGGTGTGTTTTTGAGTTGAGTAGTAGAACACTCCAAAATTACTTCTAAAATTTTTGCAAGGTACATCTCTGGTGGTCCAGTGGTTAAGACTCTGAGCTTCCAATGCAGAGGGCACAAGTTCGATTCCTAGTCAAGGAACCAAGGTCCCACATGCTGCATGCTGTGGCCCATAAACAAAATAAAATAAATACAAATATACTCAGCTTTCTAGTCATTCATTAAAGCTGCCAACTGTTAGAAGGACTTTGCTTCACTTGTGGGTAACTGGCAATAGATAATGCTTATAAAAGTGCTTTGTTCTTTGTCTGGGAGACATCACATTAACCTCCTCACTGGAAGAGCTTCGAAAGGAACATTCCATGAAACAAGTTCTCCAAGAGGAGGAGTGGGATGAGAGAGCAATTTGAGAGGACATAGTGCAAAATGCCGCTCTGTGCTCCCATTGGCCTTTGGGCTGGAAGTCCTCCATTTCCAATTACAAAGTACAATTGTTATCTGATTGCAAAAGAATACACAGTCACTGTTAACAAAAAAAAAAGGAGAGAGCACCTTGGAAAATAAGACCACAAAGGAGTCATTTCTTTTTGATTTTTAAAATCTTTTTGGGGTCCTTTAAGGGGAGTGTTTTCAAGAGAGATTTTTTCCCAGGACTTTATCTAGAAGGAATGAAACACCTCTTCTGACAGTTTAGGTAAGCCATGCCAGTAAACAACAGGAAAATGTATTCTCTGAAGTAAGATTCGGGCTCTTTAGCCAAAATTGAGAAAAAGGATTGGGTCCCCACAGTCCTGTATTATTGGATTTTTTTTGCTTGTGGCAAAGTGTGAAAGGGATCCTGTCCCTCGCCTATGCATGTTGCTCTGACCCTCAAAAAAGATGAGGTGACAAATTGAGAAGAAAATCAGCGAGCACCAAATGACCTGATCCTTCTGGGCTGTAACTGACCACGTGGCCGCAGGAAGACCCACAAAGATCCTCTGAAGTTTTCTCCTGTGTAAAATGGAGATCTTAGTGACCGCCTCCCAGTGACTGAGAAGAGTCAAGGAGCTGATGCACAGAGAGAATCTGGGGCCGTCGGTGGCATATACTAAAGATTCAAAAAAGATAGTTACATATCCAAGAAATAGCCAAACACCTGAGTTTTTCTACAAAGCAACCCCCCCTTGAAATCATGATGCTAAAGCTCCAATACTTTGGCCACCTGATGCAAAGCACCAACTCACTGGAAAAGACCCTGATGCTAGGCAAAATTGAGGGCGGGAGGAGAAGAGGACGGCAGAGAATGAAATGGTTAGATAGCATCACTGACTCACTAGACACAAATTTGAGCAAACTCTGGGAGATAGTAAAGGACATGGGAGCCTGGCATGCTGCAGTTCAC